TTATTGCAATTTTAAACACACAAAGTCAATGGGATTCTATAGAGAGCTGAAGTCCAGCCACCCTCCGAACTAGGGTCTGTTTCATTTGCTACACAATCCTTCACTTGTTTTGGGGACAGTTCTCCCCAAAATTAAAAATACATATTGTTCCTCTTACTTGTAATGCTATTTATCAATCTAGATACTTTTCATGCGAGTTTCCTAGTTTTGAAGATATCGGCCCTAGTGATGTCTGCCTTCTCTTCTCTTTTCAACTTTGTGCATATTATATTCTATAATTCTATTCTATTATATTGTGCATATGCTTTTGACAAATTTCCCCCTGGGAATGAATAAAGTATCTATCTATCTATCATATGCAGTGTTACAGACAGTTTGTTCTAATCAGTGTTTTGTTATTGTTTTCAGGTGAATGGAGAACTTCAGTACTTGCCTGTATGTTTGTCGGGCGGCAAGGTCTCTGTAAAGCAGAGTGGAAGCTACGCTGTACTCACCACTGACTTCGGCCTGACTGTAAAATATGACTGGAACGTGAGGCTGTACATCACAGTGCCATCTTCCTACTATCAACACCTCGGAGGCCTCTGTGGAAACTACAATGGAGACAGGAGCGATGACCTGCCTGAACCAAATGGTGAGGACGGGGACATAAAGGGATAATACTGTAGGAGGAGAGATGGTTGGGTGCAACAAGTTGTCTAATGTGGCCGAAATGTAATTGCCAATATCTAATAGAGGTGGAAAGTACACTTTCTTTCCGAAAAGTGTTGAATTGGTGAACAGTGCCAGGTAGCATGGAGGGAGTGATGGAGGGAGCTGCATCAAGAGACTCTGGCTGTCATGATAGACTGTAGATAAAAAGGGGACGCAGTCACTGGGACGTCATTCATTAGTTTGTGGACTGGAACCTCAGGTTTGCCATTTTGGCTGTCGCTATCTTGGTTTTTGTCCGTTGCAATCTGGAATTTGGATGCACCAACTTGGTTTTTGGCCATTAACCACTTGGTTTTTGGCAGTTGCCATCATGGTTTTTCGCCGTATCAACTTGTTTTTTGCCCACCGCCATCTTGTTTTTTTGAGTACAACCGAACGCTAAATGAGGAGTATTTATGTTACAATTAGCTTTCGTAAACTGAAAACACACTGAAAGGGTTAAAGTTCAAGGACAAAAACTCATACAGCTCCCAGACTGGACAACGCAGACCTGTCAATCACAAGGTAGCCACGCCTTACTTTAATTTAAATGAGAACATAATCTACTCAATGAACATCATGCCTCCACGACGGCATTATTAGTTGTAACCTAGTGCCGGCCATGAGCTAGCCAGTGGGGCAAGCTCATATGCACTAACATGCACTAACAGCACGCATGGCCGGCCCGGCTATGTAAACAAAGCAAGGAGAAACTAATTTTACAACTCACACAGAGATAGAGTGACTTCATTCTCTACTCAGGTAGACATTAATATATATACCACTATATCTTTTTATTTTTATTTTTTTATATATATACTTTATTGATGAGAATGCACAATATGACATACAAGAAAAAAGTATTTTCATTTTTTGTGTATGTGTTAGTGAGTTTACAATAGTAAAGAACAAAAGAACAGGAAAGTAAAGCAAACAAACGGAAATAAATAAAGTAAAATAAGATAAGATTAAAAAAAAAAAAAATTAAATCAAAATACCCACCCACAGACCCACCCACACATATGGCCTTCACGTTGGTTTACATAAAGTTTGTGTAATACAGTATTGTAAAACTATAGTCATTAAGTAGTTAAGTTAAGTTAAGTTACAGTTAATCAGACAGATAATCACTATATCTTTACATAGATAATGAAGTGGTTTGATGTTATATTGATGCTCTGAATATCGCATTGAAAACCTTTAAAAGACATTATGCCAAAATAATTTAGATCCAAAGTTCTGAGTTTGGCTGAACGCCAGTCATCTAAATTTGAATTTATTTACATGCTTTTCTGCATGTTGCTTTCTGTTTTCTTGCAGGCGCCAGTCTCTCTGCTGTGCTGAAGATGATCCAGAAGTGGAAGTCCGATGAATCCGATCGGTTCTGTAATGATAACTGTGCCGGGCACTGTCCCATTTGTACAAAAGAGATGCAAGCCCACTACAGCAAGCCCCACCTCTGTGGGATTCTGTCAAAGTCAGATGGGCCATTTTCAGCCTGCTACGATAAGGTCGAACCCTCCATGTACCTGGAGAACTGTGTCTACGATGTCTGTACCACTAAAGGTGAGACAATATTTGAAGAATGCAGAATGCACACTAAAAATATAACATAAAAAACTGGAGGAAATGCAAATTGATTGAAGCCATGCTGTCATGTTGTCATGAGTTCCTGTGATGTTAATGTGTCTGTGTGTTTGTCCAGGTGCCAAACAGACTCTCTGTGAAAACCTGAAGAGTTATGCTGATGACTGCCTGTCAGAGGACGTGAAAGTTGACCCTCAGTGGAGAATGATTACCAAATGCCGTAAGTTGCCAAGCAAAATATTTTTCCTTTGAAGTGCTTTAATTTATCATGAACCATTCAGTGAGGTTCTAGCGGAGTGTGGCAGTGGAAAGCTACAGCAAAAGGAGTGAGTGACTGCATGTTGCCTATATGGATGAAAGAAGAAATGGAGATACAAATTTTGATGTGGTGTCATGAATACAATTAATGTTAATCTAAATGTTAACATGGCACACAGATTAAAAAGAACATTTAAAAATGGCACTTCATATCAAAAAGGATGGTGATGGCTTAGATCCGTCAGCCCCCAGACAATCAAATATTTACCTCAAGACATTATCTGAAAATATTGAAGTATGACACCTATACAGAAAGTTATATTTTACCTGAGGTTGGTGCTGGAGGAAATGGGGTCTTTCAAATCGGGCTTTTGTGTCGCAATGATAATGTTTCTGTTGAATAATTAAAGTGTTCTTATCACTAAAAATCTGTTACAAATATTGACATTGTTAAATAATTGTTCGGTGATGTGTTATTGGTTTAGACAGAGTATTGGTTCTCACAGATAAGAACAATGATCTCCAACCCCCCCCCCCCAGTACCTAATTGCCCCAAAGGTAGCCATTATGAGGCGTGTGGTACCCCCTGCCCTGCCACCTGCGTGTCCCCAGACATCAACAAGCTGTGCAAAGGCTCCTGTGTGGAGGGGTGCCAGTGTGATGAAGGAATGGTGCAAAGTGGAGACAGGTAACACACAGACAGTCTTTAGTTATTTTATATTTGGTGGATTGTATGCATGAATGACAACATTTTGCCAGGTTATGTTATGCTATTCAATATTCATACCAAGACCAATATTCATTGGTTTGAGTAGTTTTGAGTCATCATAATCTATTCATTGATTAACCAAAACAGGCCTTTCCAAAAGAAACAGGCTCTTTGTGATCTTGACATAACCTAAAATGTCTTCTTGTTCTTTGGAAACCAGCCAGAAGGAGGCTGGTCTCCCAAAAATTACGCTCACATACAACTTAATTGCATTGTCACTTGCGGTTTGAGGGAAATGTATTTTCTCCCTGATTACATTTGTTTTATACAAATGCATTTCTAACAACACAGGACTTAGCTTAAATAACCTAACAAACGTACTTATTTGAAGTCAAACTGTGTATTTTTACTAAACCTAACCATGTGATGCACTTTGTGTTGTTCACAACGTTAAGCATACGTTTAAAAACTGCAAAAGTTGTACAGAAAATAACGCTCATGTGACATTTCAAGGACTCCGGGTGTTAATGCTTCACAATAAAACACGGCTTGTTAGTCTACTCAGGAGAACAACCT